AAGTCTAAATGGTTTCATGGTTATTGAGACACAGGCACACTAGAGATGGGATAAATGAATCATACAAAATGATTCGAATCATTTGAATCGATTCACTAAAACGATTTGTTCTCAAGATTCGTTCACCGACTCATTTCATTCGCTGATTCGGCGATCTTCCGCGTTGATTATGAGTCTTCTGTCTTGTTCGAATCAATGAATCGTTTTAACCCTTAACTGGGCACTGTATCTTTTTGGATACTTATAAGGAAGCGCAACAACAAGATGATCAACAATATCAAAACATCGATATTTTTGTTATGAAACGATATCATGTTATGCAGGCTGCACTAGGAATGGGCGTACAGTTCAAATGTATTGATAATTTAATATCGATACCATCCAGTTGTTATATAGTTATTAATATTATATTTTATACTTATCGATTTTTAGATATATCGTTATAGTTTTATCAAAATTTTAAATATATACATGAGTATCTAGTATTTTTAATTTTAATACTAATTATACATTTTGCTGTCGAGGTTTGTATTTCTGAGGAATGTAAAATAACTATTGATAACATATTGATCGGGTCCTAGTAATATAGACATTGACATTCAAAATTAAAAACTGCCTTGTTTTCACTTTACTAATATCTTACTTTACGAGAAAAACAATAATTTATTTTATTTCGTTGTATTTGGACTTTGGTAGTTAACAAAATTTGTTTCTTAGTATACTAGTTTATACTTAATACTGTGCAAAATTTATATTATGTAATTTTTAAATATATTATTATACAAAAAATTAAAAAAATCGAAAAATAGTGTTTTATTTTTATTACTTTACAATCAAGAAAAGAAGAACAATTTTATAAAGCTTAAGATACAAAAAACAAAATGAGTAAAATAAAAAAATAATATCTGGGTCATCCTTATCATGTAGGTCATGCTTAATGAAAATGGAATAAATAAAAATATGAAATTCATTAATAATAGTATTTATTTAATAAAACTAAATCGTTTGTCTTAAACAAACTGAGATATTATATCCCTACCTACTAATTACTAGAGAGCTTTAGTTGTAGATGCAATTAATTGCAAATTTGTGAGTAGCTGGGTCACAGTGTTACACCGCAAACGGCAACCAATTCTGCTGTGTGAAATCCTCCACTAAAGCAGATGTTCTAGAAGTGTGTCCAGAAACAAAACCGTTAACTTCAAAAAAATCTTTTAAAATTAAAAAAAAACTACTATTCAATTATTATGTTTCTTACATAAATAATATATTATGATAATCCTGTACACTTTGTTTTTGATAAAAATGAAATTGTTTGAATTACTTGTTTTACTTTGATATTATGGATTTTTGAAAACTTCAAAATCATTGAATTAAATCATTTTTGAAATATATTTTGGCGGCGTTTAGGCTAACGTACACCCGATTTTTTTGAGTACTAAATATTGGTATTAATATTTAAACAATCAAAAGATAACATTTTGGATACGATGTCATATCTCATTTTGAAAATAATAATGTGAAAAAAGTTATAGCTATTTTAAAAAAGTAAAAAATTGGTATTTACTAGTTTAATAATATGCTAAATACTATAGGTTTATCAAATAAAAGCATATGACATTCTCTACAATATATTGTCATGTTTCTTTTTTGTTAATGTAATTTTGCTCTAAATCAACATGAAGCGAGTCCTGCTTAAGTATAATTTGTACTTATAAGACTATTGTATAATAGATTGACAGAGTGACAGGCTTCCCGGTGGAGGAACTTATACAGATTTAATTAAAGATATTATTTACATTTTTTTTCTATTGAATTAGCAGGTCACAAAACCACCCCTTCTTAATCTTTTTTGGGGTTCCGTTTTTTTAATAAATATTGTCACTCGATATTTTAAATGGACAAGATTCGAGCAATGCGCTCTTTTCAAATTCTGGTTTATCCAGGGATAGGGTATAGTGTAGCTGTAGGCTACTAGTGTCTATTGTAGACCTAACTATAAACAAACGAGAAGAATAACACATTGGGTATTGTATTAAGAAAACGGTGTATATATATTATATATATATACTTAAAACATTAATCTAATCGATAATATTACAAAAGAGCTAAGACGAAATATAAAGACTTCTTTTTAGGTAAAAATAACGTTAAAAATTATTGGGTGGTAATGATTTAATATATTCTTTATTTTTTTCATTTTGGATAATCGCTTTTTATTTTTTGGAATACTTTCTATTTTAACATATATAAACTTAACTGATATATAACCTATGGTATACACTTTACACAAAAGTTGTGACAACATAAATGTACGAACTACGACTTGCAGCATAGTACTGTAGCGTGTTTGTACTATTTCATGGGACTTATTGTACTTATAAGTACAGAGTATATTTACATTCCCCCGGACTTTTGAGACAACTATTATTTATAAAACTAGAGACACAGATAAAAATGTCTAGAGGTCAGTCGGCTAAATGTCTGTTATGGTTTACCTTTGTGAAACAAAATTTGTTCAAACGTAGTATGTTATATGTCAGTACACAGCGGTTCTGAGGGGGGTGCCCGGCTACGCCGGCCATGGTGTCGTGACATATTTTATATATAATAGATAAATTAATAATACATTCATATTTTTTTGATCCATATAATTAAATCCATAAATTGATATTTTTTTAGATGGCTAACCAACAGTTCATCCTACTAAATGATCATAATTAAAAATGTTTAAATACTTTTCATTTTCATTATGTAGTATTAATTTTAAAAAATATAGCAAAATCTATAGTTTTAACTTTTTTAGGGTGGAGTGAGTACTTATATTATACTTCTATAAATAATAAAATAATAAATTAAATGTTGATGTTAACTACAAATTTATTGTGACTCTTTAATTAACAGATATTTAGTTGGACCTACTTTGTATATTGGGAGAAGTTACTTGTTTACTTAAGTTTATAGCTTTCATTAGGTATATTTTGTGCCTAATTTATTTTGAAATTAAAACGGGGTTCTTTTTAAAAAACATGTTCACTAATGATACTCTGACTTGAGGCAATGTATAATAATATAATTAATATTTTGACTCATTACGATCTAATAATATGAAAAATATTCAAAGATTGGACAAATATTTTGTACAACGCTAACCAAAATTGTTTTTTACTAGAGATTTATTTTACCCGGCTATAGAGTTTTTTAGTAACATGTACGATCTGTTATTATACAAATAACAATGCCATTTGCGTCATGCTTTAATAAAACGTTTTCTATGAAGTTTGAATAATATTTGTTAAATATTTGGGATAATACAGGGACAAGATAAAATCCTAGCGGAAAGAATTAAATAAAAATAGTTGGCCCAACTAATGATTACAGGACTAAATGTGAATTAGTTATTTCAACTACAAATTTATTGTGACCCTTTAATAAACAGACTTTTAGTTGGACCTACATAGTTATTTTGAAGGAGTTACTTATTTTTTAAAATTTACATTTCTGAATAGGTACATCTTGTACTTAATATACTGTGATATTTGAATGGGTTTATTTTTAAGAAACTTGTTCACTTATGTTACTCTGGCTTGAGGAGCTGTATAATAATATATGAAACATTTTGACTTAATACAATCTAATAATATGGGAAATATTTCAAAGATTGCACAAATGTTTTGTACAACGCTAACCAAAATTGTTTTTTGCTAGATATTTATTTTACCTGGCTATAGAGGTTTTAGTAACATGTACGGTCTGTTATTATACAAATAACTTTACCATTTGCGTCATACTATAATAAAATGTTTTCTATGAGTTTTGAATATCTTCTGTTTTATATTGTTCATCTTAAAATATGGGATAATTTAGGGACAAGATAAATTTCTAGCGAAAAGAACTAAATAAATAGTTGCCCCAACTAAAGATTACAGAAATAAATGTGAATTAGTTATTGCAACTACAAATTTATTGTGACCCTTTAATAAACAGAATTTTAGTTGAACCTACTTTGTATAATGGGAGTAGTTACTTGTTTACCTAAATTTAGAGCTTTCATTAGGTACATTTTGTGCCTAATTTATTTTGATATTTAAACGGGGGTCTTTTTAAAAAACTTGTTCACTAATGATACTCTGGCTTGAGGAGCTGTATAATAATATATGAAACATTTTGACTTATTACAATTATATAGTAAGGGAAATATTTCAAAGATTGGATAAATATTTTGTACAACGCTAACCAAAATTGTTATTTACTAGAGATATATTTTACCCGTCTCAGGTGTTTTTAAACAATATGAACGGTCTGTTATTATACAAATAACAATTTAATATGACCCTTTAATAAACCGACTTTGAGTTGGACCTACTTAGTATTTTAGGAGGTGTTACTTATTTATTTAAATTTACAGCTCTGAAAAGAAATAAATAAATAGGTGGCCCAACTAAAGATTACAGAAACAAATGTGAATTAGTTATATCTACTACAAATTTAATGTGACCCTTTAATAAACCGACTTTGAGTTGGACCTACTTAGTATTTTTTAAGGAGTTACTTATTTATTTAAATTTACAGCTCTGAAAAGGTACATCTTGTACTTAATATACTTTAATATTTGCACGGGTTTTTTTTTAAGAAACTTATTCACTAAAGATACTTTAACTTGAGGCTATGTATAATAATATATTTAATATTTTGACTTCTTACGATCTAATAATATGAGAATTGTTCAAAGATTAGACAAATATATTGTACAACGCTAACCAAAATTGTTTTTTACTTAAGATATATTTTACCCGGCTATAGTGTTTTTTAGCAATATGAACGGTCGTTTATTATACAAATAACATTGCCATTTGCGTCATACTTAAATAAAACGTTTTCTATGGAGTTTGAATAATATTTGTTAAATATTTTCCTACTTATTTAGCAGCTGTTACGGTTTATTCAACATTTTTAACACGTATTTATACATTTTCAAACACGTATTAAAACCTCTTTAATATATTTGACAATTTTAAAAGGAAACGTTGAGCGTTAATGTATGTATCTTTTTCATTGATATCACACTAAAATATTATAGTTTTCGCTAACTATGTTGCAATCCAACATATCATTGTGTTTTATTATTGCTGTGCTTACAAACGCGGTTATAGGGCCACGAAACTTTAATAGAGAAGACACGGATGTGGTTTTGGCCGAGCTGAACAAGATTAAACAACTCGATATGGGTTTCTTAGAAGAATTCGTCATGCGTGAAAGACGGGTTAAGCATAATAGCGAGTACGAAAGGTTGATAGATTACCTTAATAATCATATTGAGCATATTTACCAGCAGCTCGAGTGCAGTTATGCATTGTTTGCGATGCGTTACATGCGATTAATCGGAGCAATCTTGGCGGACCCCATGGATTTGGTGAAAGAAGATGTTTTGGAAAAGGTTTTGTTCGACGACGAAGCTGCGGAAATGTTGGCCACCTCCATAGATGTGCCAAAAATAAATGTTGTTAAGAACACCATGTGGGCGTTCTGGTTGTTCGCGGACAGACTGCACAGGTTCTTAGATGAAACCAAAAAATTTGGAACTGTCGACGAGAAAAACCATTCGGCCATCTTAGCCGCTCACCGGACCGTTCGCTCTGTGCTCGATCGGTTTTTGAATAGGGATCAGTGCGTTTTCCACAAAGCTGAAATGAAATCAAATGAATTGGCCAGACTAATCGACGAACTAAATGTGCCGGACAAGTCAAAACAGCTCGTATGGTACCTTTTGAATAATAAGCACGTGTTTGATAGACAAAAGTCGGCCAACGCTCTTTTTGGAATAAATACGTTCCGCCAACAACGAATTTCCATGACAACGTTAAACCTAGACGGCTTACTTGGGATCCAAACATTTGTGGTGCACAGCAAGGGCGTTGAATTTTGGCAAACCATAGAAAGCAAGCTAAGTGATGTGTACAACACCGCTATGGAATTGGGCACGACACTAACCCAACAGACCGAGTCAGTATGCGTTTTTCAAAAAGAGTTAACCGATATCTCTAAAAGAGTTTCGCTTGGCGTTGACGTCAAAATCGTCGAGTCATTTAAGGAATACACGTCTTCCGTTGAATGTCAACGCGTCGCTGCACTTGATAATGTATAAGATGTCTAAACAATTATTATTATAAATGAAATACTTGTGAAGTCAATAAAGTGCTAATAACCTATAGTCTTACGGATGTATGTGATTTTTGTTCTACAATTGTACATGTTAATACTATGTTTAGAGTTCAACCATCAGTGTAGAATAATGACATGTAGTTAAATAATAATATGTCTTGAGACAAGACTTTTGAAAAATTAGAAAACTTGATAGGTATAAGGATTTTATTTTCAGAAGTATACGAGCATACACTTGTGCCGAGGTTAAAAATAAAATTGGGACGAGTACAATGGTAAGATGTTAATTGATTATAGTATATTTATTTCTTATTAGGACAAGCTGAACCCACACATATTTAAAGCACACAAAGCAGCTTCAGGTTTTTAAGAGTAACTGGAATATTAAAAGGCGCTGTCTCGCAAATCTTTTATCAATGTAAATCTAATAAGGCTTCTTAGCACTGTCCAGTTTCAGATATGGGACATTTTTTATTCAATGCATCAAATACATATATTATTCTATAAAAAACTCGAGACACTTATGGTTATAATTATATAAAATATACTTAATAATATAATATAATAGATAAATTAGTTTACATCAATATTTTTAATTTAACCATGAATGTTAAAACGGCCCGTTACACGAATTTTTACAACTGAAAATGATTCTTATTATCGTGTCCGGCGCTGGGCTTTATTGATATTAATAAAAGATGACATACATTAGTAAAGGAAAACACAAAAAAAAAAAAAAAATACAAATGTGTTTAGAAAAAGAAAAAAGAATTAGTTATTTCTACTACAAATGTATTGTGACCTTTTTATAAACAGACTTTTAGTTGGTCCTACTTAGTAGTTTAGGAGGAGTTACTTTTTTACTTAAACTTATTGCTCTCACGAGGTACATCTTGTGCCTAAAGAATTTTGTTTTTTACAATCTAATAATATGGGAAATATTTCAAAGATTGGATAAATATTTTGTACAACGCTAACCAAAATTGTTTTTTACTAGAGATATATTTTACCCGTCTTAGGTGTTTTTTAGCAATATGAACGGTCGTTTATCTTACAAATAACATTGCCATTTGCGTCATACTTTAATAAAACTTTTTCCATGAATTTTGAATAATTTTTGTTAAATATTGTTGTTTACAACGCGACCGCGTTGCTCGTTGCCGTAACCGGTTTTCTCTCCCTCTGTTTCTCCGTCCAATGCGTCGCACACCTGTTAATCTTAATAATTCACTACACTGTACCTATTCTCTTTGCCTTCTAAAACATACTGTATTATCACCCATATCGTATCTTGTTTTTTTTTTTGTATATATGTTCGTTCTGTTCTAGTCTTGTGTGTGCACGTTGTTACTACACACTCAAGAAAAATATAAATCGTTTTTGTTTTCATTTATATCAAATCTCTCTTTATTTTTCTTGCCGTTACGGCCGTTAAACTGTGCAGACAACGGCGTAAATATCTGTAACAGCACATTGTACACAAACGGTGTATTGTATTTGACCCCGTGACATTGCGTCCGGGTTAGCCCAAGTCTCAGTCGACAGTGCGTCGTGTTGCTACTCCTGTTGGCCGTCACTACGACGCTGGCATCAGTCAACCGCGATCACCGCCTTCGCCCGAGGTCCAGTTTGGTGCTGTAATCCCGCGTAGGTCCGCCAGCAACAGTGCGTTGTGTGAGAGGCCGCCTAGGTCGTCCAGTTCCCAGTCACCAGGCAGCGCAATCAGCAACAAGACCAGCAGCTCACCGTCCACAAAAAAAACTTAAGTTATCGTTAAGGTCCCTATTGTAATTGTACCCTGTGGTCATTGCACCAAAACCGAACCGGCCACAGGGCCCCCTGGTCCCATAATTAACCTGTACGATCTTCTTTCCCAGTGTATAAATTCATTCCCGTTCCTTCACTTTCCTCTCTCTCTACCAAGCCGACATCGTGGTCGCAGCGCGGGCTCCGTCTCGAGCAGGACCAAGCACGTTAGGTTGCCTATCCATTTCCGAGTTAGGCGCATTGGGTGCGTGCCTGATTGGTTGCCGATTCATCGCACCATCAGGAACAAGGGTATTTTTTTTTGTCGAGTCGATCTCAACTCTTCCACATACCGTTTGTTTTCGCGACAATTGTCCTTCTTAAAATATGGGATTATATAGGGAAAAGATAAATTTCTAGTGAAAAGAACTAAATAACAAATGTGAATTAGTTATATCTACTACAAATTTAATGTGACCCTTTAATAAACCGACTTTGAGTTGGACCTACTTAGTATTTTAGGAGGAGTTACTTATTTATTTAAATTTACAGCTCTGAAAAGGTACATCTTGTACTTGTACACTTTGTTTTTGATAAAAATGAAATTGTTTGAATTACTTGTTTTACTTTGATATTATGGATTTTTGAAAACTTCAAAATCATTGAATTAAATCATTTTTGAAATATATTTTGGCGGCGTTTAGGCTAACGTACACCCGATTTTTTTGAGTACTAAATATTGGTATTAATATTTAAACAATCAAAAGATAACATTTTGGATACAATGTCATATCTCATTTTGAAAATAATAATGTGAAAAAAGTTATAGCTATTTTAAAAAAGTAAAAAATTGGTATTTACTAGTTTAATAATATGCTAAATACTATAGGTTTATCAAATAAAAGCATATGACATTCTCTACAATATATTGTCATGTTTCTTTTTTGTTAATGTAATTTTGCTCTAAATCAACATGAAGCGAGTCCTGCTTAAGTATAATTTGTACTTATAAGACTATTGTATAATAGATTGACAGAGTGACAGGCTTCCCGGTGGAGGAACTTATACAGATTTAATTAAAGATATTATTTACATTTTTTTTCTATTGAATTAGCAGGTCACAAAACCACCCCTTCTTAATCTTTTTTGGGGTTCCGTTTTTTTAATAAATATTGTCACTCGATATTTTAGATGGACAAGATTCGAGCAATGCGCTCTTTTCAAATTCTGGTTTATCCAGGGATAGGGTATAGTGTAGCTGTAGGCTACTAGTGTCTATTGTAGACCTAACTATAAACAAACGAGAAGAATAACACATTGGGTATTGTATTAAGAAAACGGTGTATATATATTATATATATATACTTAAAACATTAATCTAATCGATAATATTACAAAAGAGCTAAGACGAAATATATAGACTTCTTTTTAGGTAAAAATAACGTTAAAAATTATTGGGTGGTAATGATTTAATATATTCTTTATTTTTTTCATTTTGGATAATCGCTTTTTATTTTTTGGAATACTTTCTATTTTAACATATATAAACTTAACTGATATATAACCTATGGTATACACTTTACACAAAAGTTGTGACAACATAAATGTACGAACTACGACTTGCAGCAAAGTACTGTAGCGTGTTTGTACTATTTCATGGGACTTATTGTACATATAAGTACAGAGTATATTTACATTCCCCCGGACTCTTGAGACAACTATTATTTATAAAACTAGAGACACAGATAAAAATGTCTATTATATATAATAGATAAATTAATAATACATTCATACTTTTTTGATCCATATATTTAAATCCATAAATTTATATTTTTTTAGATGGCTAACCAACAGTTCATCCTACTAAATGATCATAATTAAAAATGTTTAAATACTTTTCATTTTCATTATGTAGTATTAATTTTAAAAAATATAGCAAAATCTATAGTTTTAACTTTTTTAGGGTGGAGCGAATACTTATATTATACTTCTATAAATAATAAAATAATAAGTTAAATGTTGATGTTGAATTTCAATATAAATTTAAAAATGCATTGTTCTTATTTTTGCTATTTTTATTCAGTGCTTCAGATATTATAATATTAATCATTTATTAAATGAAAATTATAGTATCAATAAAAATGATAATATTTTAATAATAATAATAATATTTTTTTTTTTATGTTTTAATAATGCCCAATGTCTAAAATCACACCATATTAAAAAAAAAAAAAATAAGTCAATATTCATAAGTGTCTAATTTAGTTCCATCCATAAAAAAATAGAAAATATTGCAAATCAAATATAACACAAAATACAAAAAAATAAGTTTTTTAAATTTAAAAGAACGTTTAATTCGCGTGACGTCATTGGGCCGAGCTCAATATGTAAATAATGCTCAATAATCAGTATGAGCTCTATGTGTAAATGAAATATCAATAATGAAATGTACTTCTTTACTCGTGTAAGATAGACAATTATGGCGAGCTCGGCCCAATGACGTCACACGGCTATTCTAAATATCCTAATATCTCCTTAAATAATCATTTTTTTTTTGCATCGGATTTGGAACAAATCATTTTTAATAGTTCTGACTACAATAATTTAACATTTAATTAAAATTTAAAACAATTGTTTTTTTGTGTTGTGTGCTTCTTTAAAGAAAGTGAAAAAGCGCCAATGTGATACACCCTGTAGATTCCGAATTCGTACGGTCCGTGCTAATACGGTCAGTGTCATTTAAGATTCCGTAGAAGTACGGCCCGTGGTTTTACGGTTTGGTTTTTTCCGCGTTAGTACGGTCCGTAACAATACGGTTCGAGTGTTTATGGATTCCGTAAAAGTACGGTCCGCCAC